CCAAGTTGTGAGTGAGTCACCACAATCTTCCTATCATAGCCTTTCCCCAGCAAGGTCGTTCGTCCATCCCATGGTCACTCGGTCTAAATTAGGTGTAGTCAAACCAAATCCCAAGTATGCCTTAAACGTTGTCACTTCATTGTCACTTCAGCCAATATACCACGTGAACCCCACACCATAAAAGCTGCGTTGGCTCATCCTGGTTGGAAAGCTGCTATGGACGAGGAACTAGCAGCACTTCATAAGAATGAAACATGGACGTTAGTTCCTCGAACACCAGACATGCATGTTATTGGGTCAAAATGGGTGTTTAAATCCAAACTGAATCCAGATGGGTCATTAGATAGACTAAAAGCTCGACTTGTTGCTAAGGGGTATCATCAAATTGATGGGTTAGACTACACAGAAACTTTCTCTCCAGTTGTCAAACCAGGGACAATTCGCATGATCATTACTATAAAAATGGTCTCTTCGATAGTTAGATGTTAAAAATGCCTTCTTGCATGGGTTAGTACTTTTCTTCTTAAATATGGTTTTTTTTTTTTTTTTTTTTTTTTTTTTTTTTTCGCCCTCTGATAGCTCTATACATGACCCAACAGCCACCTTGTAATGGCAGCATCCTCACATCCCGTCATGTACTGTTCTTGCCAAAGTCACAAAAAGCGCGCTTTATGGTCTTAAACATGCAAACCGGTTGGTTTGATCCGTGGATGATTAGTACTTTTCTTCTTAATTTTTTTTTTTTTTTTTTTTTTTTTTTTTTTTTGTAGTTTGGTTGATATGTCATTGTTTGTTTTTCATTCTGATTATGGGTCATTAGTTTTGCTCCTTTATGTCGATGACATGCTGTTTACAGGGTCAAATCTAATACTTCCTTCAAAATTCATTATGTTGCTAAGTAGTGAATTTGCCATGAAAGACTTAGGCCCGATTTATCATTTTCTTGGAATAGAAATAACTACAACAATAAGTGGCCTTCATTTGTCTCAATCACATTATGCTTTGATCATCCTTAAACGCTCCAGTATGGTTGATTGCAAGCCCATAAGTACACCACTTAAGTCTAAAACAAAACAGTCATCTAGTGATACTCTCTTAAATGATCCTAGTTATTATCGAGGACTTGTTGGAGCTTTACAATATCTTACTTTAACACGACCTGATCTTTCCTTTAGAGTTAGTTATGCTTCTCAATATATGCATGCTCCAACATTGGGGCATTTAAAAATGGTTCGCTAAATTTTACGATATGTTAAAGGAATAATTTATATGGGATTAAGTTTTACTTCCAACACTACACTTGATCTATTTGCTTTCTCTGATGCAGATTGGGCAAGTTGCACCGTGACAAGATAGTCTACTACCAGATATTGCACATTTCTTGGTCAAAATCTTATCTCCTGGTGTGCAAAGAAACAACAAACTATCTCTCGCTCAAGAACTGAGGCAGAATATCGTGTAATGGCTCACACTGCGGCTGAGCTTACGTGGATGACTTTTATTCTCAAAGATCTCCATGTTGAACTACCATCTCCTCTCACACTTTATTGCGACAATCTTAGTGCTCTTCACATAACCGTAAATCATGTCTTTCATGCATGAAGTAAACATATTGAGTTGGATTATCATTTTGTGCAAGAACAGGTTGCATATGGCTGCTTGTCACACAATATGTTTCTCTGATTGTCAAGTTGCTGATAACTTTACAAAGCCAATGTCCAAATCAGCTCTTCAAAGCTTCTGCAACAAACTTTGCCTTAAGCCCCGACAAAGTTTGTGGGGAATATTAATAATTCCCTTTCAAGTATTGGTTCCTCCTCCTCAAATATCGGCATTAGTGAGAGTCAATAGAGAGATAAGGGTGACTATAATTCTTGGAGAGAAAAGGGTTGTCATAGCCCTGACCTGGTCAGTATTGTCCGCTTTAGGCTTTGCAACCCTCACGGATTTGTCCCTCAGGCAGGCTTTGCAACCCGCCCAAAAGCGCCTCTTTAAAAATAATATATTTTCTTAATTCCACCATTCTCATTTCTTTGAATTTTTTTTTTTCACCCTCCTATATGACTAAAAACGGTTTATAGCCAGAGTCTTCTATAAACCCGGTTGTCCTGCTGGGCTTGAACCACGCGGAGGCACTTGAGTTTTACGTTCTTCAAAAGCCCTTAACTTGTCTTTATTTTCATCTGCAACCAGTAAATAAGGAAGTGCACTTGTCATCATTACGAAACACCATATATATGTATATATAATTTCATCATAGTATAGAAGAGAGCCGCTTACAGGTTTTGGGGAGTTGAGTTGTTTGAGTAACAACAATGTTGTGAGATGCAAATTTTATTACAACAAACTAACCAAACAGAAACATGGCTAAAAAGGCATCCTATTCATATGCAATCCCTATCGTTCTTTTCCTCATTTTGTTTGCATCTCACAACATTGTTGTTACTCAAACAACTCAACTCCCCAAAACCTGTAAGCGGCTCTCTTCTATACTATGATGAAATTATATATACATATATATGGTGTTTCGTAATGATGACAAGTGCACTTCCTTATTTACTGGTTGCAGATGAAAATAAAGACAAGTTAAGGGCTTTTGAAGAACGTAAAACTCAAGTGCCTCCGCGTGGTTCAAGCCCAGCAGGACAACCGGGTTTATAGAAGACTCTGGCTATAAACCGTTTTTAGTCATATAGGAGGGTGAAAAAAAAAAATTCAAAGAAATGAGAATGGTGGAATTAAGAAAATATATTATTTTTAAAGAGTAAATTTTTTTGGTTGTTATATGCATAATAAATAAATATATTTGGTTAACAAGTTCGATATTTTGTATTTTGTTATATAAAAAACTACATAAAAACATCAAGACGAAGCTTTTTCTTTTTGGAGTTTAAACCCTCTATTCTAATTTTTTTTTTTTTTTTTAAAAAAAAAATTACTATGTAAGCACTATATTAATATGTTGCTTCAATTTTTACTTTGGCAGTTTATTTTTTTCACCCTAATTTATCAATTTATTTGGTTTGAAGATCAATCTTTTCCTTTAAAACAATATAGTAGGATAACTTTGGTTAATTCTGGGAAACAAATTTGAAGACAACCTCATTAATTATAAACAAAGAAAGAAGACTAGGGCTTACGTTGTTTCGTTAAAAATAATTATTTAAAAAAATTTTTTTTCACAATTTTTCCGTTGTTTGGGGGCGTTCAGAAAAATAAGTCACGGAGAAATATTTTTCTAGTCAAAGGAAAATTAAGTCCATTGTGTTGTAGTTAAGAAAATAATTTTCCATTTTTGAGAAGAGAAAACATTTTTTCGGACATTGTGTGTGTGCGAGTGAGAGATGACGTGGAGTAAATCCATATTTATAATTTATTAATTCATCATAATTCACTTGGGCAATCCTGGATGTGTGCACCATTTACCAGTGGCGGCGTGGTGGCCACCGATAACTTTCATATTTACATTTTTTTTGCATTCTTTTTGTATTTAGTGATAGAGTTGATGTAGAGATGTTTGTTAAATTATAAAAATTTCTATTATTATTAATATTTTTATGTGTGGTCTTATGAGATAAAGACTTAATATTTTTAACTAATTTTCTATTACAACCAAATTAACGAAAATAAGTTATTTGGAAATATTTTTCAAGGAAAATGTTTTCCCATGAATGATTATGTATGTGTGCTAGACAAGGTGTGTAGTTTTCCTACAAATTATTACAGAAAGAAATGAAGCCCGTGATATATTATGTAAAAGAAGATATCATAATAAATAGATAAGGTTAATCAAATGTAAGCATTTAGACAGACAATAGCAATAAGCCTTAATCGAGATTAATTTGGAAATTTAAGTAGATGAATCTCCGTCTTTTCGTAACTTGATGCCTTCCTTCATGAGGTGGTAGGAAGAGAAATGAAAAATAATTTTTTGTGAAAGAACATTTTTAATAAAATGTGCTCTTTGTGTGCGGGGTGTAGTGATTGTTGTTTAATGTGCTCTTTTTCTTATTTTATTTTTATAAAATTAATATGAAAATGTAGACCAAAAAAGAAGAAATAAAGGTTAAAAGAGGCAACTGAAATAATTTATATATTTTGCTTAATAAAAATCTCATAGCATACTATTCGTGATATTCACAAACTATTCTTGATATATATTTTCTATGAACGTACTCTTTTTAAATTATTTTTATATTTATTCCTATATTTTTAAATTTTATAAATAAACCTCTATATTTTTATATTTACACATTTCCCCCATATTTTTATTTCTTATAGTTTTGAAAATTTAATTTTCTATGTCTGTCTCCGTGCATCATAGGTTGACTATTTCATATGATGCTCAACTATTTGTACATTTCTCACTTTCTTGATAATTTTGCCTATTTTTTGGAATTGAAATATTTTGATAACTATTTGTACATTTCTCACTTTCTTGATAATTTTGCCTATTTTTTGGAATTGAAATATTCACTAACAATGATTTTCCAATCATTTCTTTTTTACAATTGATTAAGAATATTACCGTTATGGATATATTATTGCTCCCACATATTCACAATGTATGTATTTTTTATATGTTTTTATAGATATATCATTTGTAAGAGTTGACCAGAGAACATTATTTTTTGAAAAATTTTCTATGCAAGTAAAGTTCACATTATAACAAATGAGACCAGAAGAGATACAATAAAACACACCCTTTATCAAGATCATGATAATTTTGACAAAATATATTTAATTATCTATCTCACTTTATTTTCAATTGCTTATGTATATATATATATAGTCATACACGAGACAAACATAAATTTGTAATTTGGAACTTGTAAACCGTGTGCACTTATTTTCTATATGTATGATAAAATATCACCCACCGCCACCTGGTCCGCCACCGGATGAACCACGATCGCCCACTCCAGTTTTACTTTCTCCAGTAACCCTTAGGTTCTCTTTAATATATATATATTGTCATACACGAGACAAGCATAAATTCGTAATTTGAAACTTGTACACCACGTGCATTTATTTTCTATATGTATGACAAAATATCACACATGGCTGCCAAGGCCACCTGGTGCGGGACCACGTGGTCCACCTGGTCCGCCACCGGTTGAACCATGACCGCCCACTCCAGTTTTACTTTCTCCAATAACCCTTGGGTTCTCTTTATTTTCATCTGCAACTGTCATTAAATAAGAAATTGATGGTTTGAATATTTAGTATCTTTACATCAAAACGTAAATATTAGTATTATTACTAGAAGTAGAAGAGAGAAGAGAGAGCCTTACTAGTTTTGGGGACCCGAGTTTTTCGAGCAATAGCAGTATTATAAGATGCAAATAAAATGAGGAAAAGGATTGGAATCGCATAGGAAGCCATTTTAACCATTTTTGATTACTTTCTTCTATTAAAAGAGAATAGTAATCACGGCATATCAATCGGCATATCAATTCCTTCATCACCATTATATACTCTAAAAGTTTCAAGCGTTGGGCCCCAACCAGCGATCAGTTTTTGTGGAAATATTGCAATATGATATTAATTTTGTTGACTTTAGAACTTTGATTACATACCCAACGGTCAATGCACGCTAGCTTGATAGTTATTTTAGGAGAATTTTTCGAAACATTATTACTTTTTTTTCTCCCAATAAATTGTTAGAATTACCTTACGTTTGAATCAAAAAAATTATTTTTAATTAATTGAGCATATGTATCAATATTTCATGTTACTTCAATTTTGTTTATGATATTGAAAAACATGATTGAAGGTACGCATAATTCAAAGTTGTTAATTATATTGGATAGATGGATCAAGTCTATGAATATATAAGTATTTATTGAAATGAGATTATTTTTCACTATGCAATGAGAAAAAAAAGAAATAAAATATATTTAAGGAAAAAACTTAGCTATACCCGGTATATGGATCCACTTATAAATCAAACTAATTATAACTAGTATTTCGGTTCAAACAAATGTATTTTTTAGCATACACCAAAGAAAAAAAAGGCACAAAACAGCAACTTTTAAAAAAAAAAAAAATTCGGTTGTTCTATGCATAATAAATAAATATATTTGGTTAACAAAGTTCGATATTGTGTATTTTGTTATATAAAAACTACATAAAAACATCGAGTGGAAGCTTTTTTTTTTTTTTTTTTTTTTTTTTGGAGTTTAAACCTTTTTGGAGTTTAAACCCTCTATTCTAATTTAAAAAAAAAAAAAAACTATGTACAAACTATAAATAATGTTGCTTCAATCTTTATTTTGCAGTTATATTTTCACCCTAATTTATTTATTTTATTTTTGAAGATCAATTTTCTATTCCTTTAAGACAATCTAGTAGGATAACTTTGTTAATTCTGAACAAATTAAGACAAACTTCATTAATTATAAACAAAGAGAGAATAGTGATACATTTGTTTAAGTAAAATAATTTATAGAAAAATATTTTTTTAGTCAAAGGAAAATTAAGTCTTGTTTTAGAAAAATAATTTCTCATGTTTTGAGAGAGTAAAACATTTTCCGGATATTGGCAAACCTTATAAATCCATATTTTTTAATTTGTTAATCATCATAGTCACTATCACCGGTCAACATTTACCACCGATCACCACCATGGGCCATCGGCCACTGATGATTTTCATAATTTATATTTTTTTTTTTGCATTCTTTTCGTATTTAAGAATAAAATTTTTAAATTATAAAATTTCTATTATTATTAATATTTTTTGTTTTTATGGTTTTATCTGAGATAAGACTTTAATATTTTTAACTAATTCAATATTACAACCAAATATTGGAAAATATTTTTTCAAGCGGAAAATGTTTTCCATAAAAATATTTTCAACAAGTTATTTTACGGATAAGAAACGGAGCCCAATTATGTATGTAAAGAAATTATTCATAGATAAATAGATTAAGGTAAAAATCAAATAAGCATTAGACAGACAATAGCAATAAAGCCTTAATCCTAGATTAATTGGAATTTTAATAGATGAATCTCGTCTTTGTAATTGATGTCTTCCTTCATATTTGGAGGAAGTGGAGGAAGAGAAATGAAAAATAATTTTCTGGTGAAAGAACATGTAGATGTAATGTGCTCTTTTTCTTATTTTATTTTTATTTTTGTTTCTCTTTACTGATTAAGTAAATTATAAAAGAAAGAAACAATAGTAATTAATCTATAAAATTAATATGAAAATGTGGACTAAAAAAGAAGAAATAAAGGTTAAAAGAAGCAAATGAAATAATGTATATATTTTGCTTAATAAAAATCTCATAGCATACATATGAATATTCACAAACTATTCTTCATATCAAACCATATGGGTATTATGTTACAATTACAGAAGCAAACTACAAATACAACAATTACAGAAGCAAACTACAAATACAAGTCAATTTAAAATCACACAATTTACAAATAGATTACAAACCCTAATGATTTCCCAATCTTCATTTACATTCTACTAAATATTAATTAATAATACCTTCTTTAAAAGAACAATTAATGAATTAATTTAATCATTTGTGACAAAACTAATGCTTGATAATATGATATCTACTTCTATTGGTGTCAATAATGCTGTCTTTGAGAAAAGCACAGCTTCATACGTAAACGAAGTTAACACATCCATTGATTTATGTTAAAAAAAATATTATATATAATGAGCCCTGGAAATGAATTGAACTTATTATCATTGGTGCAAATAAAATTAATTTAAGAGGGAAAAAGAAAAAAGAAAAAACAATTGTCGATCTGGATTTTGTAAAGTATATTAACTTTAAATTTGCAAGTATCGTAATCATTTAAATTACATGGATTTGAAAATTTATAAATACAGAATTTCACTGTCATCCCTATATCTAAATATATACTTATGATGGAAATACAAGTTTTTATATTTGAATCTCGCTGATTATAATTCATTTGTTTGGTGAAAATTATTGAAATTGAAGGATTATTCTTGTTATATATTTCTTAATATTATTTAAGACTTATTTAATTCTTAATATTATTTAAGACTTATTTAACTTTTAATAAAATAAAAAAATATTGTTAAAATATTAAAATATTATTACGATGCATTTACCAAACAATTAATTGAAAAAAAAAAGTCATAAAGCCTAGTAAAACATTAATCTGTAAATGAAGCACTAATTGAAAAAAAAAAAGAAAGAAAGAAAGAAAGAAAATGATTCCTTGATGTTCATCTGATTTGAATTTTTGAATCCAGAAATAGTCAGATCAACGAATCTAAATCAAATTGAGATCAAAGCCGTTAGGATGTAGAGCCCACGCACGCACACACATCCACTTTCCTTTGGTTACTCACCACTTGCTCTCTCTCTCTCCGCCAGTGCGCCTCCCAATTTTCTGTTTTTTCTCTTTCTCTCTTCTAAATTCTCAATTTCAATTTCAAACGAGTACATGGCAGAGAAATCCGTGGATTTGGATTTGCCCCAAGAATGCTGGGAATTGATTTTCAATTCGCTCGATCATCATCGTTATTTCGAATCCCTTTCTTTAGTCTCCATCCGATTCCTCTCAATCACGGATCAGCTCCCCCGTACCTTCACAATCTCTTCTCAGGTAATTCCTTTCCTTCCCTGTCTTCTCAGTAGATTCCGGAATCTGAAGGAAATTGAAATTCGTGAATTCGAGGGTGACCTCAATTCCCTTCTTTATCAAATCTCTAAATCTGGGTTAGACCTCGAAACCCTAAGTTTCTCAAAACAGAACCTGTTTCCTTTAATGGGTGTGAGAGAATTAGGATTGAGGATGAGGAATTTGAGAAAGTTGAATTGCTCAAAGGTTGTATCTTTACAAGATAGTGATTTATTTGTAATCGGGAATTCTTTTCCATTGCTTGAAGACCTTGATATCAGTTTTCCTCAGTATTATTCTCGTTTCAATCCAAATGGGTCTTTGGCTTTGGCATCTTTTTCTGGGGTTGTAACAGATGAATGAAGGGATTTTTGATTTGGCGATGAAGCTCAATAGGCTGTGTAAGATTAACCTTTCTGGTAATCATTTCATTACTGATAAATCTCTTCAGTCTTTATCATCGAATTGCGCTTTATTAAGAGAGGTTGTGATTCATGATTGTGATTTCTTAACCCAGAATGGTATTAGTTTCATTATGCGCAATTGTGATAATTTGTGTTCTATTTCTTTGGATAGTCTTGGAATCCCTTATATAGATTCGTTTTTTCAAGAATCATTTAGTTATGCTAAGACTTTATGTGAGCTTCATCTCCAAATTCCTAATCTCACTGCAATTTTTCAAAACTCCTTTGACCCCTTCTTGAGTAATAGTAGGACAGTAGCTAATTTCAAGTAGTTGTAGATAAGGACAGCATAAAGCAATATTTTTTAGACATTCATCACTTAAACTGTTATTTCCAGTCAAGCAATATTTTTTAGACATTCATCACTTAAACTGTTATTTCCAGTCAATTTTAGAGATCTAATTCGGGGATTGATCACCAAATCTGTCGAAAGTTCTTCCACCCCTAAGTTTGTTCTCTCCATTTTGACATCTTCCAACAAGGGGCAGTTCTTTATAAGCGCAAAAAAGGACAAACTAGTGAGCTTAGAACATAAACTAAGGTTTATAAAGGACAAGTTACCAAGTAACTTCGACAACTCAATCATGGATTCATCGGTGAGAAAATTTGCCCCTTCAAGATCTAAGTACACAAGAAACTGACACCTATATAATAAACAAGAAATTCCAACAGCTGTAAAATTATAGCAATGAGAGATAGTCAGCTTCTTTAATGGAAGACGAACTTCCATCTCCAAATTACTAGAACTAGAAGAGAGAAGAGAAAGCCTTACTGGTTTTGGGGACTCGAGTTGTTCGAGCAATAGCAGTATTATAAGATGCAAACAAAATGAGGAAAAGGATTGGGATCGCATAGGAAGCCATTTTAACCATTTCAATTACTTTCTTTTATTAAAAGAGAAGAGTAATCACGGCATATCAATTCCTTCATCACCATTATATACTCAAAGTTTCAAGCATTGGGCCCTAACCAGAGAGAGATCAGTTTGTGTTGAAATATTGCAATATGATGTTAATTTTGTTGACTTTAGAACTTTGAGTACATACCCAACGGTCAATGCACGCTAGCTTGATAGTTACTTTAGGAGAGTTTTTTAAAAAATTATTACTATTTTTTTTTCTTCCAATAAATGGTTAGAATTACCTTCATTTAAATAAAAAAAAAAAAATACTTTTAATTGATTTAGCATATGCATCAGTTCAGTATTTCCCGTTCAATTTTGTTTATGATATTGAAAAACATGATGGAAGGTAGTCATGGCCAGATTACGGGACGAACCGGCCCCGAACTGGGACGAACCGGAACCGGAACCCGAAAAATCCGGTTCGGTTCCGGTTCCAGCAAATGAGGAA